GGGGGGGGGGGGGTAAATAATTCATTATTTCTAAAGGTTAAACTCTTTTTCTGGATGTTTTTTCCCAAACCTGACCAACTGTGTGACACCGTCACAGTGAATGTAGTATGAGATGCAATGAAGGTGACTACTTTGTCTCACCAATTACATGTTTAAAGCATGCATTGCAACATGAGTAACAACTGTAGACACTGTACAAACAGCAGAATCCGCACAGTACATAATCCCATCAATGCTACACTACATGCTTTAACCGGTTCCACAAAAAACGTTGGACAAAAACAAAGACCCTTAGAATGTTCCACTTTACAAACTACTTCCAGTTTGGGGAAAAACTGGCTCCCTATTAGCCCATATGGCTAAGAATCAGGAAGAACCATGTCCAATTGATATCTTTCAAACCAGTACAGGATATGACTGTAGATGAATTTTATCACAGCATCCTTCCCTAACAAAACCTAAGGTGAGATTTTACTTCCACACCTTTTTACAAACTCTAAATAGCTCCAGACAGACTGATGGCCTTCCTGATTTTGCACTGAAACCCGGTAAGAATGCTTTTGCTTATTCCAACAAATGCTATATGTTGGTAGCAGCAGGGCCTGTAATCGGACTCCTGCCTGCTATTTTTGAAGTGTTGTGTTTTCAAGCTTCAGGCATTTGTTTTGGCCAATTGAAAGCAGTATCATGTGTGACATGCCATGGCATTGTCCTTGTATCTGCTTCCTGGTTTTTCTGTATGGTATTTTGTACGACTAGAGCTTCCAGTCCGGGAAAACTTCACACCAAATTTCTTCCAAGGGCCTTTGCTGCTTGCTATGGTCCTTGTAATGGGCATCACTGGTGTGGTGGAGGTTCTCGTGGGCCCTCACCAAGCAGATAAGTCTCCACATCCGGCATGGATACTCTTGAATCGCAGGTTCTCCTATTATGGTCTATGAGGCCACAAATGAGCGATTCTGCCCCCCCTACTGTGTTTTGGTTAGGCCATGAACACATTAGAAGCTGTAATTTTAAGAGACCAGGGAGCCCCTATTTCGAAGCTAAAGAGCCAGACTCTGATATGGTAAATAAAGCTTAAAAAGGAACTTTACCCACCAATTTAAATATTTCCAGAAACAGTTACTTTTAAGGCATGCCAGCACTGAAGGTTGCCAGTGTGCTTATTTCAGCTCTCAACCCAACTTTCAAGCCCTCAAATGGCTGGTGTCATATCTGATCACATATGCCACACCATGGCAACTGCAATCCAAATAGAGGCTAAGACGGCACCTTCCTTAACTGTAAAGGACCGGAGGCTGTAGTTGCCCTTTTAATAAGGGAATTTGCATGATTATAATATACAATATTCCGATGTTTTGCTAAAACCAAGCAGTGACTGGTCCTCTCTAAAGCTGAACTCTAGGCCTATCCTAAAAGCTCACCATTTAATGCAGTTATGTATTCATTCAAATCATTAAATGTATTCTTAAATACTGAAATTTGGTCATTGAAACAATTGTGGAAAATGATGCAGTAACTGAACATGAACGTTGTTTAAAAGTGCAATAAAAGTGAGACCTACTTCATGCTATCGAAAGTGACAATAGGGAGCACAGGACTTGTAAACTGCCAGAAAAGAGCAACTATGTACCTATAGCTATGAAGATGCAGGAGGAGAAAGGTAGTGGTGCAATAAAGAGAGAAAATAGACCTAAAAGGAGAGTGATCAAGAGGGAAAGAGACAAGGGTGGTAGCCAGAGGAAAGCGAGAGGTTCAGAGCCTGCAAGGGCAATATACAGTGGTACCACGGTTCACGAACGCTTCTGTCATGCGAACAATTCTGTTCGCAAGCGGGAAGTTCGTCAAAGCTTTGCTTCCGTTCACGAACTCCGCATTGGGTGACTAACACAACCGCAGCCATCTTCCCTGCTCTGACACATGGTCTTGGCTTCCTCTGGTCGAGATTGCGGTTTGATCACAGTTTAATTTGTTTCACAACCAATTCGGTTCGCGACCAGAATCGTGGAGCAAATTACGTTTGTGAACCGAGGTACCACTGTATCAGTTATTTGGTACGTAACGGTCAAAGATGGAATTTACCACTTTGCCTAAAGAATCTCAGAATATTGAGATTCACTTGTAACACCAAATTCTATCACAAACTACTTTTAACATGTATGTAGGTGAAGGGATTGACCTTAATGGTGCAGGCAGGCAAGAGAGCCATCAGAGCAGGGAAGAGGTCTGACACAATGGACTATTTTTGTCTCTTTTGCCAATGTTTTGGTTTTTGCTGATAAAGCTTTGAATAGAAGCTGTGTGTCTGGCAAAAAGAAAATCTTCTGATTTTTTTTTTTTTTTTTAAATGGCAGGTCAGGTTCTCTTATGCAATGTCAGATTTTATATTGCACTATATTTGTATTGAGATTATTGAATGAATAGGAATATAAAAAAGAATTGGACCAATAAGGCAGCAGAAAAAAATAATTTGTAGCCTGATATATTCACAGTTTACACATTTCTAGTCTGTGACGATGTCTGTAATGTATAGCTGCAATTGCTGGTGTGTGTGTGTGTGTGTGTGTGTGTGTGTTTGTTTTTTGCCTAACCTGCCATAGTGATTGTCCTGATTCACTGATTGGGAATCTTTTGATCTCCTGAGCAGGGCGTTCGTTGGACTTCCCAACACGTGTACCAATGCTCTTACAGTATATGTATATAGGAGAGAAATTTATGTTTTCCATTTTCTCTTCCTATGTTGTCGAAGTGATCCAGGAGGTTTTTCTGTATTTTTTTTCATCTGGTCACAGAAATAGGAAAACAATGAGATCATTCAGTAACTCTGTCTTGTTTCTTACATCAGCACTTTCAATGTCTTTTTAATGGTATTGCTTGTCTGTCTTTGTTCCACAGCTGAGCATTCAGTGACTTTAAGCCCAGCAAGCCTTCATCACACTGCTGAAGATCTCTTTGAGCCAGCTGTAAACTTGGAGAAAGTAAGAAACCTGTTTTTTCAATCGGGACACAAAAGCCAATACTAGTTCAGGAAATGTGTATGAACTGAAAAGTATTCCAGCAATACGTCTGGTGCTGTTTTTGCTTTAAAAAAAATACGGGAATTCCACAGTCTCTGAACATTCACTGCAGGTGGATAAATCGCTGTAATTTATTACACATGTGCCAAGATTTGCCTGCAGTGAATATTTGGTGAATATCACATTTACTGCAATGTAAATATGTTCCTAAGTGTTTTTGTCCAACTTTCCGTCTCGATACAAGCGATTAAAGTGGATTTCCATTTTTGCAGCCAAATTAGGATAACGCCTGCATTTTTATTTGTTACATGTTCCCATTCACATTGCTACTTTTGTTCCCCATAGTCCCTGTGTGTTGTAAAGTAGCCACCGCCCCAAACTCACTCCCGTGATGGACTACAATCTCAATCCAAGTTCGTAAACGAAACTTGAGACTACAGCAGTGACGTGCAGTACCTCTTGCTCCGGGTGAGGCATGCCCCTGCCAGACGAAGCCATGCACCCAACCAGTCCCAAAGCTAGTGTACAGGAGGAAGGGAGGAGCCTCCCTATCCCTCACTTGCTCCTCACTGCTGAGGTACTCCGTCCATGACAGGTTACACAGTGGGGAGGATGCCGATCTGAATGGAGAAAAAGCTGTCCGCTTCATGTGTTCTCTTTCCTCCATAATTCTAGGTGAGGCTCTGCCTCACCTGCATCCCTTGACCGCACGTGTCGGGATTGTACTCCAGCACAGGAGTGGGCCTCACAGTGTAGTTTGCAAGAGTATAAAGCTTTGGGGGAAAGATTAACTTGTGTCTTTTTAAGACCGCAATCTTTGATTTGCTATCTTATTTTCTGCAGTTTTATAGACCTTTTTCTATGCTCTGTTCAATTTACTTTTGCTCGAACAGGCATTCATATTTTGTCCATCCATTATTTCATTGTGAAGAGCCAATAATAGTAATAGTACTGAGTAGATGACTGCACTTTTATCATCAGTAGCTGCAGCATTATGTTAAGGCCAAAGAGAAAAGAAAACCTAGATGGTTCATCAGCATGATGGTGAAAAGAGCAGTGATGACATACTAAAGACATACTAAGGGCCAGCAGCCATAGCAACCAATCAAATAATGTCTTCTATAAGTCTGGGTTCACACCTTGATGCACGTTATCGTGTGTTTTGCACTTTTTATGCGCATAAATCAAAATGTTTTTGTGAGCAGATTGTAGCTCATTGATGTTAATGAACAAATTAGCATAAAACGCGCAAAAACACAGCAAAAGCGCGTTTCCTATTGAGTCTATGGGGCCAAAATGAGCTGTAATATGCCAAATAAAACTTCATGTACTTTTTCCCAGCGACCGGCATTTTACTTCCCAGCGACCGGCATTTTACTTATTGCGAAAAAACGCTCCAATGTGAACAAGGCCGTGGACATGAATGGGATTTTTTTTTGGGGGGGGCGTATTTTTTGAGGGTTTTTAAGGGCAGAAAAAGTGCTACAAAACACTGTGCGAACCAGGCCTAAAGTGATCTGCATGCTATTGGTTATTCCATTTTTACATCTATCCCTAAATGTACATCCACAAGTACATCTATCCCTAAATGCATTATATTTTACAATGTTTGTTTTTTTATTACAACAAAACTTTTTAAAGACCACCTGAATCTAGCTAGCATAACTGAACCCGTCACGACTGTCTACATTTATTGATTTTGTTTTTTTATTGTACATATAACATTGAAGGCTAACTAAGACATTTGTAATTGAATTACCTTTTATTAAGCTTTGGATGTTTTATTTTCTTTAGGAGAATGAGCACTTCCTGGCAGCAGATCTGTTCATAGCTGTGGTTGAGAAAATGAAGAGCCATTGGCAGTATGAGCAGTGGAAGACAGAGGGAGGCATGTACTGGATGAAGAGAGATCAAGATGAGCTTTGTTTCCACAGGAAGAAAGCAAATTCTGAATCTGCTGTTTCTGTTGATAGTGGATATGAGGGTAAATGTTCAAAATACACATCTCATTGTGTAATATTTAGGCTCCTGTAAAAATGAATAATTTGTCATGATTTCTTTTAGAGTATAGTAGCTTCAAGGTTAGCTGGTTTAAGATAAGAGGGTCTTGGCCCCAGAGAGTCTTGGCCCCAGAGACCCAGGTGATCCATCATTCTCATTAATCTCCTTTTTAGATTTCAGAGATGTGCCATAGGGTGCTTCATGTATGTTAGTACTGTCACTTCCAAACCAATCTTTCAGTGCATAGGACCGACAAAGGAGTATGCACATGAATTAGGTTTCTTACAGTATAGTCACTGTGCAGCCCTTTTATCACTGTGACCCTATTCCCCAGTACAAATTAGTTGTCAGAGACATTTTATTAATGTGCTGGGGAACTGGCTCTTTCTGGTTTCCTGGGTCATGATTGGTTCAGAAGGATTAATCACAGTTTATACATGACCCAGAGAATGTGTGGTAGACACGTAGTATGAGGAGAGGTTGAATCAAGACGCAGAAACTGGATTTGCTCTGGAAACAGCATGTTGAATATGAAGACTGGTATAAGAATAAAAAAGCAATTTATAATCAGGCCTACAATCATCCTTACTTGGTCTGCAGATGATGACCCTATGATGACCCACCAATCCCGGTTGAACCTGCCAGTGAAATCCACCTAATGTTTTCGGTGATGGCGTGGCAACAGTGCTGCCCTGCTCCTGAATTCAGAGCAGAGGAAGGGGATTTGTCTTGTATAAGATGTTTGTTTACTTTTATCACGCTTGTGCACTGCATAGAAACTGGGTTTGGATCTTGACTATATTTTCATAGAGGATCTTTTTAGCTTTTACTTTAATTATTTTGTATTGTCTTCCTATCCCCTATAGTAGCTTCAAGGTTACCTGGTTTAAGGTGAGAGTCTTGGCCCCAGAGAGTCTTGTGTGTGTATATGTTAATTCTAACAGTAGTTTTAAACCGATCATCCCTTGCTATTGGTTCTCTCATTTGTTAGGATGCATGTAATAGAAGGTGATACATCCGCAGCTTTTTGTCTTTCTTTAGGTCTGGGCTTCAGTTCTTTCCAGAGATCTGATGCTGTATATTAGATGTTTTCTACTTCCGTATAATCTCATTTTTAATATCTAGAAATGCTAATACAAATTAAAACATGTCTGAGATTATTTCTGTCCCCCCCAAATTTCAGGTCTGGCTGCATTGCAGAATTCTCCTGCAGAAACTATTTTTGAGGAGGATGAATCTACACAATGCATCAACACTGACGTGTATAAAGACTATGATGATGATTTCGTAATTATAGGTAAATTCTAGTTCCATTTTAGTTGTGCAGAAATGATTATTAGATTTGCTGCTGGATGGATGCACTGAGGACACAGCTGCTAATGGAGATAAGCCCTTTTGATCGAAATCTTATTTTACTTTGGACCTGATTATGAAATGCCACAACAGCCAGCTACATTTCACTTTTCCTAATTTCCAAATTGGAGGAAACAAGTCTTATATCTGATCAGTTGCTGTTTGTATCACCTTTTTTATTTCACTTTTCCTCCACATTTCCAACCCTATGGATTATAAGTGTTGTGCAGACAGTTCGTTAGGGAAAAACAGCTAGATCACTCATTATGCAAGACAAACGTTTTCAATTTTCTGCTTGTGTTTCCAGAACCGGAAGACTATGAGAAGTTATGCACACCTAAGCAATCCAATGACATGCCTGAAAGGTAACTTTTTTTTTATTTATTTGGAAAGCCTGGAGTTCAGCTTTAAATTGGGTAGCTTTGCCAGGTCCTGTGTTTGTGTACATGTTGGGGGGGGGGGGGGGGGGTGGGGACGTGT